AATATCTCCCAGCTCTGTGTGAGCTCTGAAAACTGTATTTTGCCTGGCCTTGTAGAGTTTCACCCTATTCATACATACCTTAATAACCAGTAGCAGACTCTGGCAGACTCCTGTACAGATTTCTGGAACATTTTCTATGCTTAGGTCCCTCTTCTCTGATACTCTGCCCTGCAAATTCCAGCCAATTCACTTTCCTGGAACTCCAATCTTTTGTTTCTTCAACTCAGTGAGACAACTGTGCTCTGTTTGGATTCACCCTCATTGTGCCACTGTCCAGGAAGTGTCTCCAGGTAGAAAGATGGAGCCTTTGTACGGCTCCCTTGCTTGTTTGTTTTTTTTCTCTCAGGGATCACAGTATCGTGCCACCAATTGTTCAATATCTGAAAACAGTTGTTTCTTATATTTTGTCTCGTTGTCTAGTTGTTTACTGAGAGAGGGCAAGTCTGGGACCAGTTACTCTGTTAATAGTAAAGGGAGAAGTCTCCTCATTCTTTTCTTCATGCCTCCTCCTGCTTTGTTTTTTTTTTTTTTTTTTTTTTTTTGACAAATGCATAGATTCCATTGCATGGATGTACTCTAATTTATTTAGCTATCTACTGATAGATACTGAGTTTGTTTTGGATTGTTTACTAATACATATGTAATCTTACACTAGTGTATATCACTATGATAAAATCCTAAAAGTGGAATCACTGAGTGTCTTAGTCATCTAGTGTTGCTATAACAGAAATACCACAAGTGTATGGCTTTAACAAAGAGAAGTTTATTTCCTCACAGTAAAGCAGGCTAAAAGTCCAAATTCAGGGCGTCAGTTCCAGGGGAAGGCTTTCTCTCTCTGTCAGCCTTCTCATCAATCTTCCCCACCCCCAGCCCCCAGACCCCAGGAGCTTCTCTGAGCAGGGATCCCCGGGTCCAAAGGACATGCTCTGCTCCTGGCACTGCTTTCTTGGTGGTATGAGGTCCCTATGTCTCTCTGCTTGCTTCTCTCTTTTATATTCAAAAAGAGATTGGCTTAAGACACTATCTAATCTTGTAGATTTCATCAATATAACTGCCACTAATCCATTTTATTACACTGTAGTGATAGGATATACAACACATACGGAAATCACATCAGATTACAGAATAGTAGACAATCATACAATACTGAGAAACATGACCTAGCCAAGTTGACAGATATTTTTAGGGGACACAATTCAACCCATGACACTGAGTATGGGGATATTTGTACTTGCAATATTGTAAAAAATCTGTACTAATTTCTATCCCCAGTAGCAATGAATGAGAGTGGCTATTTATATCCAAACCCTTGCCAACATGGTGTGCTACAAAGCTATTTGATCTTTTCCAATCTGATAGTTGAACAATGATATCTTATTGTGTTGTACTTTGCACTTTTTTTTGTATGAGGTAGATTGAGAATCTTTTCGTATGTTTATGAGCCATTTGTATGTCTTTTTCTATGAATGGAGACCTGGTGGCATAGTGGTTTAAGAGTCTGGCTGCTAACCAAAAGGTCAGCAGTCTGAATTCACCAGCTGCTCCTTGGAAACCCTATCGGGCAGTTCTATGCTGTCCTATAGGGTTGCTATGAGTTGGACTCACAAGCAATGGGATTTTCTTTTCTTTCTATGAATAGTCTGTTTGTATTCTTTGCTTATTTTTGTATATGGTTGTTGTTGGTCTTACTGATTTCCAGGAAGTCTTTGTATGTTAAGTGAACCTAGCCTTTTAATCTAATATGTTGCAAATAGTTTTCTGTTTGTCCTTTGTCTTTGGACTTTGATTATGGAATTTTTTTTGCACTATAGAAAAAAGTACATTTTTATGTAGCTACATTTATCAGTCATATTTTATAGCTTTCAGGGTTTGCATTTTGTTTTAAAATGTCTACCCCACTCCAAGACTATAAAGCATATTATTGCATGTTTTCTTCTTTTCCTTTTACAGTTTAATTTTAAAATGTTTTAATATTCGATTCATTTGATACTAATTTTGTTGTAAGAAGTCAGGTACATATCTAACTTATTTTTTTCCTAAAAGACTTCCCAGTTTCACAATACCTTTTAAAAAATAGTCTATATAGTCTATACCAACTTTGTTGTACACTAAATTCTCTTATATATTTAGGTTTATTTCTGGACCCTATGTTTTGATCCACTGATTTGTTTGTTTTCTTAATACACTAGTACCAAACTGTTTTAAATAATAAAGCTTCATGATATAGTTTAGTAATTGTTAGGGTTATTGCTGCCTTGTTAATTTTTTTTTTTTTTTTTTAGAATTTCCCTGGCTGTTCTTGCTATATTATCTTCCTTTATGAATCATAGAATCAGCTTGTTTCAAATAGTATCCTATTGATACTTTTACTGGGAACATTTTAAATTTATAGCTTAATTTAGGAAAACCTGAACAAACCAAAATTTTTCCTCTTTTTATAAAAACTTAGCTTTCATAAAAGTATAGAAATATTTGTTATAAAAATTTGAATTAATATAGAAGTATATAAAGACTAAAAATTAAGAAGGCTCTCTTAAAACATTTCCACCCCCATCCCACTCCCCTTCACTGAGGAACTAATGTGAACAGTTTGATAGTATCCTTTCATTCTTAGCCATACAGCTACAAACATTTATAAATACCACACACACAGGGTTTTTTTGATTCTGTATGTAAATGTTCATTAGTGATGAGGGAGCCATAATATTTACATATCGATTTGTTATGGATTGAATTATATCTTCCCAAAATGTGTGTAAACTTGGCTAGGCCATGATTCCCAGTATTTGTGTGGTTGTCCACCATTTTGTTATCTGATGTGATTTTCCTATGTGTTGTAAATCCTACCTCCATGATGTTGAGGCAGAATTAGAGGCAGTTATGTTAATAAGGTAGGACTTGATCCACAAGATTAGGTTGTGTCTTGAGTCAATCTCTTTTGAGATATAAAAGACAGAAGTGAGCAGAAAGACAGAGGGACCTCATTACTATCAAGCAAAAAGAACCAGAAGTGTGTGCGTCCTTGGGACCCAGGGTCCCTGTGCTGAGAAGCTGCTAGACCAGGGGAAGATTGATGACAAGGACCTTCCCCGAGAGCCGACATAAAGCCTCCCCCTGGAGCTGGCACCCTGAATTTAGACTTTTAGCCTCCTAGACTGTGAGAGAATAAATTTCTCTTTGTTAAAAGCCATTCACTTGTGGTATTTCTGTTATAGCAGCCCTAGATAACTAAGACAGAATCATTTTTTAAAAATCCTTCTGGTGCTAACAAGGCTGTGGAATAGCCTTGTATGTGTTTTCCACATTTGTGTATTTTGGTGGAATACATTTCCAGGAAGGAATTGATAACTAGAAGGAAATTAGTGCATATTTAAAATTTTCATAGACACTACCAAATTATTTCTAAAGACAGCCTCAGTGATACTCCTGCCAATAATATAAGAGGGTGCCCATTTTTCACACTTTCCTAAGTAGTGAATATATGAATTTTTTAACTTTTGCCAATCTGTAAATTTTGGATAAATATGTAGTTCACAGCATTATTGTAAGGGCCACATATATGAAACCGCTCTCTTATCGTCAGCATTCCACGTTTTCATTATTTTACTGCCCAATCTGGAGGTAAAATATGTGTAAGGGCTATTAAAATGTCAGGGAATCTTAATGAACAGGATTTACCATGACTTTATTGGGGCCTTAAAGAGAGAAAAAAAATCCAATGGACATTTTTAACCCGTAACTACTAAAGGGGTGAACTCAGCTGTGATAATAATTGGATGTAATGTTCTGAAGAAGCTGGCGTTCCATTTTTAAAAGAACCTAGCCGCCTTCCAGAGCCTGCCTTTGTCTCAGGAGCAACACAGAGCTCCCTAACAGGTCCCGCAGGAAAAGGTCCCTTAGGGGCTTTCTTTTCTCCACCGAGAAAGCAGGAGGGATCCTTCCCTGGTTCCAATGCCTGGCACACTCAGGAGGGCGCTTCCTTCTAGGCTCGGGTTTTCTATCCAAGCCCGCACCTGAAGCCCGGGAGTCGCACCAGTGCTTGCTTTTTTCTGAGAACAGTGAGTGTCTCAGAAGCCTGGGACCCTTTCGTGTTTTAGACATCTTTAGGATGTCTCAGTATTTGCAATTTTCTTTGGTTTGGAGGAGGTGATTGGGGTAGGTGATCATAAACTTGGTTCCGGAAACTACAGATTTCTTGGTATGCGGCACAGAGGGTGGAGCAAAGCGCCAGAGTCCGGTATCAGGACCAGCCCGCCAGACTCGTCAGGAGCAAGCGTTTCGAGACCGGCAGCCACCGTGACGGGACGTGGGGCGGGGTTGGAACTGACTGCCATCAAATGTACATCTTTTTAGTTCAGCGTTTTTAGCCTGGATTTTGGCTTAAACTTAAACAGCTTCTTGAAAATTTATTTTTACAACGCCTACAAGGTGCGAGGTCAGCCTTTGCCGCAGTCCGTCTCTGGGTTCTGCGAAAAGAACTCTCCTCAGTCCTGGAGCTGGGGGTCACCGAAGGGGCGGGCAAGGGGGCGGGGAAAATCCTTCAGGACCAGCCAATGGCAGGGAGCACTACACGAAGGTTCCGCCTCATGGGCTCGCTCAAAGACCCAGGCAGTCGTGATTATGATTGGCGGAATTGAGCGGAAAATGCTAGTCCCTCAACAGCAACGGGTTTTGATTGGCTGAGGCACACTGTCGCTTTTCTATAATCCAAACCTAGAGCCTCTTAGGGATAAATCCCGCCTTAAAAGGCGTTTGATAACAGGTTTACGTGTTGTAAAGCAAACGGTGATTGGTCACAGCGCTCACGGATTCGGTCGGTAGTAAACACAGCGAGGCTCCCGGGACCGTGGATTGGTCAGTTTATCAACTGGCCGGGTAAATTCCTCCGGGTTCCGCGCGCGGGCTGGCTGCACTCCTGCCCTGGCCCCGCCCTTCTTTTTGATGATTGGCTGCTGCTTGGCCGAAGGGGCGGATAAATGGAACGGCGTAGGCGAGCTCGCATTGCGTCACTTCCGCTTACTGTCGGGCACCGCCGTGGAGTTCTGAGAGTGCTGCTGCGAACGGGCTGAAGGAGCTGGGGGACTAGAGGCGGGGTGGGCGGGGGGTGGGCGGAACGGGGAGGAAATCCCATCACCGAGACGCCAGCCTGGACGTTCCCACCTCCTCCGACACTGTCGGGTCCGATTGGAGAGGGGTCACCGCCTCCTCCAGCTGTGGAGAAGGGGGGCGGAGCCCGGTTCAGGTGAGGCGATCCTGTCAGCGCGAGCGGTGGTGGCGCGCGTGCGGGCGCGCTCACTTGGAGACGGTTGAGCACTAATGTTGCAGGGCGGGCGGCGCGAGTAGGGTCGCGCCAAGGCGTCGGGGAGCGCGCAGACGCGTATCGGTGCCCCCGGCTACCCTGCCTGTCTTTCCGAGGGGGTATTGTTACCCTTCGGAGTGGAAGGGCCAGGCGGTTGAGAGGCTGGTACTTCTGCGCAGGCGTCTCCCGTGTCCCGACGCCAAGCTGTCTGTCTGCGGGGTGGGGCGGGGACCGGTGCCCCCGCGGATCTCCCGGCTGGCGACGCAGGTTCCTGGGATGGAGTGGGAAAGGCCTCCGGACCAACACCCTGTCGAGATGAATAGAGTATCTGGTGCCGTGTGGGATGGGTTCGGTGTCTCCCTTGCCCCCATCCTGGGTCTTGTTTTCTTGAGCGACGAGATTTCATTTCACCAGAGCAAGGCCAGAGGCGATCTGGAATTGAGAAGCGATGGCAAACCCTGGAAGGTGTTTTGGAATGCCTCAACTAGTTATCAGAGGACTAAAGTGTATAATGGGCATTTATTGAATGCCCACTATTTCAAGGCTTCGTATTAGGAGCTGTGGGCGATTCATGGTAAGATACTGCCGTCCCACCCTCACCCCTTGTTTGGAGGACAGGCAGACTTGTACATGAATACTAAAATATAAGGGAGTGAATGAGGGAAGTTGAAGGATTTTTTTCCTTCCAAAAAACGTCATTTATTATTAAGTCAGTTTGCATTCTAGCATAGTGGAGGATACTGTTTAAATTAACTTCTGAATAGAAGACAAATCCTAAATATTTAATTTGGAGGAAATTTTTTAGGTAAAGGCACAGGAAAGTCTTGATTAACTAGTAAGCTCCAGTGAATTTTAAGTTCTGGTTAACTCGAATTAATAGAAATCAGAAACTCTTAACCTGCAAGAATTGAAACAAGAATATTTCCCAAATGTGTTAATATACTTTTCAGATGTAATAAATAGAAGCTGTTACATACATTTGGATCTTTTTTTAGAGATTGAAAAGAATGTTGTGACTTAGTCATCATTGATGATTTATTTCCCATTGTGTAGACTACTGTGTCTTAGGTTAAAAAAAAAGAAAAGGGGGGGGCTGAGTGCCTCACCCTTTTCTGGAGAACTTGCTATAGGGGCTCTATGAGTCAGAATCGATTTGACCACAATGGGTTTTACTTTTTGTTTGCTGAAGTCTTGTGATTTCCGTGGTGAGAGTGGTTAGCAGTCAGCTAAAAGAGTGGGAAGGGAAGAGACCAGATGGGGAGAGAAGACTGAGAAGAATTTTAGGCAAAATCCCCTAAGCCAAGAGAAGATCTCCCACTGTTGCTTTAACACCCTCTGGAAATCTCAACAAACTTGAGAGGACTGGCCTGGCCACTGCAGCCAGCTTGGTGAGCTGCCAGGTAAGACTGACTGGTTGGGAACCTGTTCTGGGCCCACGGGTTTTGCTCAATAAATGAATCAGGACTTTTTGAAGAGTCCTGAGGTCAAGATTGGCCTTTTTTTCCTCCTAAAAGTTGCTTCAGACAAACCGTCAAGAGTACAATTAGTTGAGGATGCTGGCAGGCTGGATTCTGGTTAATTGAGGTGTCCGGCAAAATTCTGAAAGTGATAAGATTTGAAGGAAAAGCATATAATTGGGAATTTTCCTAAATTCAGGGGGTCAGTGCTTTCAAAAGAGACTTTGTCACAAGACTGTCATAAGAAGTTGAAGTAATAAAAAAAAAAAGTCACTTGGATAAGAAAATACATGTAAATGTTTTTCAGTATTTAAAGTACTTAGCATGAATTATAAGGAGTCCTGGTGGTGCAATGGTTAAGGAATGGTTTAGTGCTCAGCTATTATTCGAACCCACTCAGCGGCTCTGTGAGAGAAAAGACCTCGTAATCTGCTTCTGTAAAATTACAGCCTGGGAAACCTCGTGGGGCAGTTCTTCTCTTATATGGTTGTTTTGAGTTGGAATCAACTCAGCGGCACGCGATAACAGCAGCATGAATTGTATAGAATCAGAGTTTTTCAGTGTGGATAAGACTCAAAAACACTGTGTTCAGTGTGATATGACGAAGCTTGCTGTAGTGCTGACACACAATCTTGAATTTGTCGCAGATCCTCTTTGGAAAGGGGAAAAAAACCAACAACCAAGTATTGATTCCATGTTAGCTTTCAGCTTTTATTTTTAAAATGTAAATTAATCGTAACCAAATACTTTTGCCCTCTAAGTTTTAAGTATATGATTTTATATTTTCTATACTTAGTATTTTGCAAACATGTTATCTGGTAGAGCCAATTTTGTTAGCGTAGCGGGTAAGATGGACTGTAACATAACACTGCACTTTTTGAATAAGTATGAAGTGAAATTCTCATATGCTAAAAGACCAGCTGTTTCTGAGTGAACTATTGCTCTTTACAGTTGTTTTCATCACTATATAGTGACTCTTAATCTTAAGATCCAATTTTTGGGATATCTTTCATTTTATTAATTTTACATGTATTTGCTAAACACTTTGATTTATCTTTTTGACAGCTCAGACAGATTAGGAATTATGCTAGAGTAATGACTTCATTGTAATATAGTAGGTAATGGTAGATTATTTTCTCTCATGGTTAAGGTTGTGTGTCATCTTGGCTGGGCAGTGATTTTTAATGGTTTGGCAGTTATGTAATGATGTAATTTGGCATGTATGTAATGATATAGTCAGCCTCCATGATGTGATCTGATGTGATCAGCCAGTCAGTTGTAAGGGGGGTTTCCTTGCGTGTGGCCTCCATCCAATGTATGTATATAGGTGTTCTGGCAAAGCTGGATTGCTTGCTCTACATCTTGCATCCGACTTATCATCATCTGACCTCCATTTCTTGCGACTTGAGCCAGCTGCCTGCCGTATTGCCTGCTGATATTGGGATTCGCCGCCTTCTGCAGCCTGTGAGCCAGTAACCTGCTATCTTACCTGCCAATCTTGGATTTGTCAGGCTCTGCAGTCTATAAGCCAATGGCCTGCCATCTGGCCTGCCACTCTTCAGTTTGTCAGCCCCTGCAACTGTGTGAGTCAGGAGAAGCCGCCAGCCTGATGCCTGAACTGTGGACTTGGGACTTGCCAGCCTTTACAGCTGCGTGAGCCATTGCTTTAAGATAAATCTCTTTTTCTCTCTCTGTATACATATATGCTTCACTTGTTTTGCTTCTCTAGAAAACCCAGCCTAAGACATTTGGTACTGAGAGTGATTCTGGAGAAACAAAATTGTAGGGATGAGTTTTCTAAATTGGTTCTCAAGTCTGACTAATCTTAAAGGCGCTGATGACTCTGCCTTCAGTAGTAAAGAGGGCACTGCTAATCTGTGGTGTCAGGTGGCAATATTAATGTGCAAAATATCACCACCAGTAGATCAAGAAGTACAGCCAGAGTGCTCCTTGGAAGCAAGGATGGTGAGACTTTGTCTCACGTACTTTGGACATGTTATGAGGAGGGACCAGTCCCTGGAGAAGGACATCATGTTTGGTAAGGTAGAGGGTCAGTGAAAAAGAGGAGGACCCTCGAGGAGATGGATTGACACAGTGGCTTCAACAATGATTTCAAACATAGCAGCAATTGTGAGGATGGCACAGGACTGGGCAGTGTTTCGTTCTGTTGTACATGGGGTCGCTATGAGTTGGAACCGACTTGACGACACCTAACAACAACACAGTAGATCAAGTGTTGGTGAGAAGTGAGGTTCTGGGTGAGCACGTTTGAAACTTTTCTACGATTTTTTCATAACGAGAAGTATTTGGAAGCTGGTTGGTTGGTCCTATTTTCACTAGACAAAGTGGTAAAAGAGATGAGCTCAGGGCTTCAGAGTCATAGCTCAAGCGTTGCATAAAAGACCTGAATGTTGCCACTTGTACTGTGAAAGAAAGCCTTATGGGTAACAGAGCTGATATTGCCAAAAACTAAACCCAGAGTCTTATCATAAGAGTGGCTTAATTACAACGCCAGTTGAATTCCCAACATCAAATGGTGTCTGAAGTTAAAGTGAGAGCATTGATTGGGAAGAAATGAGATCCTGAAACTTGGGATGGGGACCTAAGGACAGATAATCAGGAAGCTGGGGACACTGAGCCCTGAAATTCCATTGAATCACTCTTGCCAACAGAACCAGCCCTCTTACTCCCATCTGAGGAGATCACGCCATCTTTGTCTTCTAAGCCACCCTCCCCAGTAAAACCATTATCCCTTCTACCACCATCTGATGAGATTAACCTAGCTCTGCCTGAAGAGTCTTTGTCTGAGATACTGCCTGGGGCATTACCTGAGGTAAATGCCTTACAAAACATTGCTGAATGTTCCTACCACCCATTTTTGTTTCTAGACCTATAACTAGACTTTAAGTCCCAACGAGCCCCAAAAGATGAAGTACAAGATGTGACCCAAGAGGAGGAATATTACACTGCAAAAGAACCGCTTGGCTCTTCTAATATGTACAAACAGAAGCCTGGGGAATCGGCATGGGAATGGCTGTTAAGGGTATGGGGTAATGGTGCAAGGAACATAAAGTTGGATTAGTCTGAGTTTATTGATATGGGCCCAGTAAGCACAGATTCTTCATTCAGTGTTTCAGCTAGAGAGTTTAGGAAAGGATCTAATAGTTTATTTGGTTGGTTTGCTGAAGCATGTATTATGCGATGCCTACACTAAATCAAGTTGAAGTGCCAGACCTGCTTTGGTATACTGTAGAAGGAAGTATCCAAAGGGTTAGGGAAGTTGGCATTTTACAGTGGATTTATCAGGTTAGACCACAGACCCACACATGAGGTGCTCAGAGGACAAACCTTTTACCATAGGGGTGAGGAACAAATTTGTGAAGGGAGCCCCAGCATCCTTGAAGACTGCTGTGATTGCTATTTTATGTAAGTCAAATTTGACAGTGGGAATTACCCTAACTGAATTAAGACACCTAACTACAATGG